GGTACGCATTGTACCCTGTGTCTGTGTAAGGTACGCATTGTACCCTGTGTCTGTGTAAGGTACACATTGTACCCTGTGTCTGTGTAAGGTACGCATTGTACCTTGTGTCTGTGTAAGGTACGCATTGTACCCTGTGTCTGTGTAAGGTACACATTGTACCCTGTGTCTGTGTAAGGTACACATTGTACCCTGTGTCTGTGTAAGATACACATTGTACCTTGTGTCTGTGTAAGGTACGCATTGTACCTTGTGTCTGTGTAAGGTACACATTGTACCTTGTGTCTGTGTAAGGTACACATTGTACCCTGTGTCTGTGTAAGGTACACACTGTACCTTGTGTCTGTGTAAGGTACACACTGAACCCTGTGTCTGTGTAAGGTACTCATTGTATCCTGTGTCTGTCTACACATAATGTATTGATGGGCCCTTAGGCTAAAAGTTAAGAAAAGTGAAACTGAAATTACTATCAATCATTTATCATTGATAAAATTGTAGATTTGATATAAACTTTATTCAATTCATGATATAAGTAGTGTACAGTAGCCCTCAAAACACATCAAATGAATTAGATACGGAAACAAGTGTTGAAATATTATATTAATCCGCTGCAAATATTAAGTCATTAAATTTGACGAGGCACAGTATAAACGGCCAAGACCCAGCAAAAGTGTGGCTAATGAGAAATAAGGAGAATTAAAAAAGAAAGGGATAGGGTAGGTTGAGGAGGAGGGAGAGGAGGAGGGAGAGGAGTTTCCCCGCCATGCCAAAAGAATAAGATTTTAGAAAATTAATGCACACAGACATAAACTGCAGATGTTTAAGGGCTGCGAGAATGTGAAAAGTCTAATGTCAAAGCTGTAGAATTCAAATCAAAAGTAACAGAGCCTCAATCAAATCTCTTGGAGCTTACGATAAAGTTTTGTACACACGAGAAGATCCTATTGTTTTCATCTACAGACAGTTCCTCGCTGCTAAAGAGTAGTAATTGTGTTGAAATCTGGAAAAATAATTCACTAAAGATACGTACGCGCAGTTGGTCAAAGTGACGACAATACAATAAAAACATGTTCATTTGTTTCCATCATTACATAGAAATAGTGTACTAATAGCAAGTTTTTTTTTTTGTTTTTGTTTTTTGTAAACAAGTAGAATTTGAGGGAACTGCATTCCGTTCGTAGTCTGACTTGCAGAATCTGCCCCATTCTGCTAACTCTAATTTTAGGCTCGTTTAGATGTTTTTTGAGTTTCCTTATTGGAGGATCACATTTTATACTATTTGGAAACATATTCCATGGACCAATTACGGAAGGCAAGAAAGACTTTTTATAACGCTTGTACGACAGGAGATAGAACGGAATGTATTAGCAGTGCGAGTGTTAGGACTGAATGCCAAGTTGTTACGTGCAGATCTTGGAGATATTGGGGTACTAATACATAAACCATTTTGTGATATTGGATTACCTATCCATCCTACATGTACATATTGTAATAGTAGTAACTTGATTATTCCTTCTTAACTTTAGAGATACTGTTCGCATACATAAGTAACAGATGTCATCTTTACATTGTGGGTAAACTAGCTTCTATCTATCGTTAATGATAATATTATTCACTTGACCAAGGCAAGGAAATACGAATGGTCTTCTTAGCAAAGCATTCGATCGTGTTTGTCACAAAGGTCTTCTGCGTAAATTATCCAGTTTTTGAATTCGTGGTCCACTTCTTTCATGGTTCGAGCACTATCTGTTCAGCAAGAAACAAAGAGTTGTTATTAATGTTTAACGTTCTAATTGGTCCTATATTAATTCAGGAGTGCCACGAGGCTCTATTCCTGGACCTCTTCTTTTTCTTATATCTATAAATGATATTGTGGAAAACATCAACTCCACTGTTACATTATTTGCAGACGACATACCCCTGTATGTTATTATTGATACACCTATGATACGTGTAGGGTTAAGGTCAGGGTCCACGGATGGTCACAAGATTGGTTAGTGAACTTCAATCCTACTAAAACTGAATCACTTCTAATAAGTCGGGAAACTGTCACTCCTAACCTATCATCACTAGTAATGAATAATACTCACATTTCCTAAGTTACATCTCACAAACAACTTGGCGTGTTTCTTTCTAATAATCGGAGTTGGAGTATTAACATTAACTATTTACTAACAACGGTTTCGCCAAAGTTAAATATTTCACGGAAATTTAAGTTTATTTTAAACCACTCTTGCCTGCAAACCTTGTATTTCTTTTAATTAGGCCAATATTAGAATACGGAAACAATAATATCTGGGACAATCTCGCCCAAGCACAATCCGATCTTCTGGAAAATATTCAGTTAGAAGCTGCACGCAATGTCACTGGTAGACCCAAATCTTTGAAGAAACTGTCTGGTTTCCACTTAACCCAAGACGCAGACATCACAAGATAATCCAAATAATAGCTTTGATAACAATTACCAGAAATATGACACTTCCTTCACCAATAATGACAAACCCTTTCTCTTTATTTCAAATACTCTAGTTTTATTTCAAGTACTTTTTCTCTTTATTTATCATTCGAGGTATCATTATTATATGTAGTAGCGATTGCTGACCTAATCTTGACTAAACTGGTTATTTTTACTATGATTATCTGGACTTTAGCCTGAAAACTGACAATGGCATGTTATTTTGTGAGGAAGCCAAGCTCCAAAACCGACCAATGGCGCCAACAAAATCACGTGACGAGTCCCTTTTATAAGGCAGTGGCTGACGTGAATACCTCTTTCGGTGTTTGGTTCTGTTGGAGTAGTTTGTACACAAGAACCCGTTAATGGAACTTAACATAGTTTATGACTTGTCTGATCACTATGAATATTTCACAACATAAATGATGAAGGACATTACCGTGTGTATATATGAATGATGAACAAAAACTATGAAAACACATGTGCAGAGCATTTCCATGTTGGATAAAAGTAACGTCAAAAGTGATATGAACGCTTCACAAAGTCTAGCAGTTTCGACACGACATCTTCACCAGACGATCACGTGATTATGCCAAGAGAGGATACTGAGACGGTGTGATATTATAATATTTAAATATTAAATATCATTACAGCGAGATGGAGGAGGACATTACAACACCATCAACATACGTGTACCAATGGAAATCTACCGTGACATTCAGCATTATAAGCTAGAAAATATACCATTTGATTAAATGTTAAGAAGAGACTTTCTTTAAGAAGTAGCTTGAATCAAATATTTTCTAAGATTTCTCAAACTCTTCACATTTTTGCAGGACAATAAGTTGTATCAAAAGACGGACGACGGAAGTAATAGGGTCTAATATATTTGATTCTGAGCTCTGAGTAAACTGGACATAATAATATGAAAAAGAGTTTCATCCTCGATGTCATTACTATAATTGAAATACCGTTATATCTGCCCTATACTTAATCCATGGGACGGTAACCGATACTTACTGAAGGTATTTTTATACTTATAAGTGAGAGATTTGTTGAGGTAAAATTTCATATCATAATTATCAACAATGTGTCTATACAAACGACATTTGGAAGAATTTTCTAGAATGTTTCTCACCTGTTGAATAAGATAATCTTTCACACGTTGGATGTATAAGAACACCAAACTGTTTTTAACTAAATATGAACGAATTTAACCAAAGATCATAAAAGCCTGTTCTACATAATTCCTGTTTCACTTGATAAATAAAATTAGTTTTAGAATTACATTTATTCGAATTGAATTCAACAAGATCCTCGTAACAAGATCTCAAAATGCAATTATTAGTACTCAGTAACTTTAACCAGTACTTTATAATTGATATTTTACGTTTTATTTGTAAAGGAAATTGTCCTAATTCGAAGTGAAATATAGAATTAATTACTTTTTAACTCCAAGAACTTTCTTTAAAAATTGCAAATGTACTTTATCAGTTTAGGTTGCAGGACTGGATCCCCAGATTTCACAAGCATAGTTAAGCAAACAAGTAATATAAGTGTCGAATAATGACAACTTTGTTTCACAATTTAACATTAAATTTCTAAATTTTCTGTTCAATAAAAAACAAGCCTTTCTGCCTTTGGCCGCAATGTTATCTAATGCTACTGAAGTAAAAAGGCCATTATAGTAGAATACTAGACCAAGCTAGTAAAAGTTGTCCACTATATCAATAGGCCAAACATTATATGTCCATTGCTCCTTATAGAATCAGATGTGTAAAGTCTACTTTTAGTGTAGACGGAATAATGAACGTAATTCTGTCCAACCAAGCACAACCAGGAAAGACTTAGGGAGGCTTACAGAATCAGATGTGTAAAGAACTCATTCAGTGTAGACGGAAATATAACGTAATTCTGGTGGGGACAGAAGAAAGCGCAGACTTTCATCTGACACTGTTAAACGACAAGTTTTTGCTATATGATGAAAACTTCAAGAGATCTAGAGCTAATATGGTCTAGAAAACTATGTGTTTTTATAACGTTGTGTAATCGGTGACATTAACGGATAAATATATATCCTAGTCATTGAACAATCACGCGATTTGTTTGACATATCGTAACAGCGCAACAGTAAGTGTCGGTGTGAGAAAGTTTTCCAATGATATCAGGGATTTAAGGATTCGATAACAAGGTATGTGATTGTGTCGCGCTATGTTTCCACATTACACATTGTGTGGGCGGGACCTACAATATACTTTTTGGCTTAGAAAATAGAAACTATACATTAACAAGATGCCCAATGGGCATGCAGCGCTCACCTGGTATATATCAGTCTTTACGTTCATAAGAAGTCATTTACAGCGCGGGACGTCATACCGTTGACAAACGCACTTGTCAAGCTGTGTCGTGATCTGTGCGATTAACACAGGTAACTTGTACACCAACTTCTGCAGTTGCGCTATATTTAGATGGCCCAGCGTGTGTTATGTGAGCATGCGCAGTTACCGGAAACGGCAGTGACAGTGACTGCCGCCAATAATCTCTGATGATGGACACTGAAAGAACTCCAGAGGAATTTGTTCGGAGCATTGACCCTGGACTCCTTCCATACAAGGAAGAATTGTTTTGTCTTTCTGTTACCAGCAAAGAGACCCTTAAATACCTTAGGCCGAGCGAAGTGCAGACAATGAACATTCCCGTCGTGTTTAAACGCATGTTGATTGAGCGCATATGTAACATGCAGACTCCGGACACCAAGAAAAAATTTAAAGCTGAATCTGAAGGCCACGAGGTTGTTTCCACTGAAAATATAATTGATGTTGCATCTACAAGTAAGTTCAAAAGGTATCCTAAAAGATTATTCGGTGTTGAAGACGAAAACAGCATCAATGATAGTAAGCCTGCTAACCATGCCCATGATGTTTTCGCTGAAAAATACGAAGATCAGAAGCCGTTTCTCGAGAAGGAGATGGAGAAATTAAAAGACGAACGGGATTCATTAACAATCTTGATGTTACACAAAAAGAATGAACTTAAAGATATGAGAATGGTACCTGAACCATTACAACCTATGGCCATACCTGGTGGAGTTATTTTGAAAACAGTCTGTGACAAGTGTCATCGCCGCGGACACAAGGCACATGGAAATCGCGGCAATCAGGCGTGTCCATTTGACAAGTGTGAGGGATACATTAATTGCGGCAACTTAACAAAGCATAAAGACTACAAACAGTCCATTATGGAGGTACGTGTATACTATCCTCACGAACTAATAAAGTCCATGCTATCCTGTACGTATTTATATCGAACGTCGGATTTTTTTCATGAAATTTACCGGGGACGTATAAATAAATGTCTTGTTTATACGTCGCTGATTTTACTTCTCACATCCACAAGTACTTGTTGACATGATTGTTATTTTTTTCTTAATTATTGATGCTTAGTAATAGAAAAAAAACCCAAGACATTTATTAGCAAAAGAATGCTTATTTTAAAAAGTGCATTATCATACCAATTCTCTTACTAGCCTTAAAATACTAAATACTGAAATTACATGATTATTAATGACATTATACGTTGTGCTTTTTGTTTTGCGTCACTGATTTACTGTAAATTCAATTAGGCCAAATGAAAAATAGTTGTATTTTAGATTTCCCAATATTCTCAATATTTAATATTTATGCCAGGGACTTTCATGTGATATTTTATTGATCTATTTACAGGCAGAAAAGGAGGTATCAAACCTGGAGAAGGAAATAAAGTCTAATGAAGAAAAAATCACAAATCTACAGGCTTTCCTACAGCACAACACAACTAACTTTGTAAAAATGCTGAAGCCAAGGCTTCAGTTTGCTTTCCAAAATAAATATGTTGGCAAAGATGGTCATCAAGCACTACAAAAGGATTTGAGGTTTATAAAAATTGCGACCAGTGGAAAAATTCCTGCCAATCTCTCTACAATGAATTCCAAAGATCTGGAGGGTCTTTTGAATGCTGGAAAAAAGATGGTATCTGCAAAGTTCAATTTAGAGCAAGAAGATTTATCTTCAGGAGCAAGGGAGAGAACTGCACTCTCCATTTCTGTCAGCACCAGTACTGGTACTGCAACATGTACAAATATAAACAGTATACCAACATACAGTTCTTACCAAGTACCTACAATGTCAGTTCTGCCAACAGATGGTAACTCAATGTACCAAGTCTGGCCAGGGATGTATCCTGGAGGAATGTATCCTTACAATTACCACCAGAATCACATCAGCTACAATAGTCATGCTTCTGCAGGCATGTGGTTTGGCAGTCCTTCACCAAGTGTACCTACCACTTGTACAGTTTCAACTCCACCACAAGTGCCAGTCCTCCAAGGACAAGACATTTTCCCTCCATTACCATTGGATCCACCTCAAACTCCTCGCCCACCTTCCCCTGAGTGATTTTATTGAACAGTTGATTTGTTGCAGTTACAATAGGTTGAATGGTTCATTGTAGCTTTGGTTTTAATAGAAAGTTTTAAATACTACCAGAGCAATGACTTTTGTAAGCAGTCAGTTATAATGAAAAAGGAAAATATGGGAATATCAAATCACATTCCGAAAGTGAAATTAATATTTCAGTTTTAATATTATAGGGTAAAATGGAAAATGATCTTTGATTAGAAAGATTAGGCCAAATTTCACAAAGTACCAATAGTTAATTCTGTTACATTGTCTTTTGGTTATTTCATGTTCTTTTCCAACAAGTTTTCTTTCTTGTTATTGTGCCAGGAGCATTATGATAACATCAAAAAATATTTGTGCATTTTCTGTGTACTGCACAAGCCTTGTTTAAACATACAGTTACTTCATGCAAAGTTTTACATGAAACCCATGGTAATTTAATTTACCTGAAGATTTTATTCTGTGCAGGGGTATGTAGTTAAGTAAACTATGTACATTGGATGTCTTTACAACATACAGATATATGAAAACAGTTTGACATTAATTTGTTTTTTGAAATCATTAAAATCAAAGACTTCATAACTTGATGCTAGTGTTCAACAAAGTCAAGAGTGTGTATGTTATGCTTAAAGACAATTTCATGATTAAAAGTATTTTGAATTTTATTTATGCTGATCTTGTTGTTTTACTTCCCTTTTGAATTCTGTAATATTTGGTTCAATCTTTTGATTCTGTGCTCAAACCTACTTTCTTGTTAGTCACTTTTGTCCTGTCAAATGATCAAAAGACATATATTTATACATTGAAAAGTGTTTTGCTTAGAGAATCTTCAAACTCATTGACTAGTCATTATCATTATATTGTAGTCATTATGTTAATAATAACTGGAACAAAAATTTAGGCTTGAGCACAAAATCCATAGTCGAGTGTAAGAAATTTCATGAGCACATTCTCATTCTGAAGTAAGATGCAGATGTACACAGCTTATAATATGGTGCCATATAAGTCTTATATCGGTCGGGGGCGGCGAAAGCACAGTCGGTTAGAGCATTGGTCACGTTTCCTCATGTGAAGATCCGAGGTGCGTGTTAGGTGCTCACTGCTGGTGTCAGTTTGTGTTTCTCGGGAAGCTAAGGACTGACTGGTCTGTGCTGTTGTTGGTTGTGTCCTTGACACTTCACTCTAATTGCTTTGGATGGCATGCAAAGGGCCTCCCGCGTGTTGTTCAGTGAGGTAATCACCAACTACCACAAGGAGACCCCGCCTCAAAATGACCCTGGCTGTTTACGGGGCAATAAACACAAACTTATATCGGTCACTGAAATATAAAAATGTACCTCAAGGCCAATAAATCACCTGTCCTTAACCTCGAGGTAAAAAAGTGCTCTTATCAGTACTCAATTTTTTGCTCATCATGAAATATGTCGACCTTCATCAACAGTGGAGGTTCCTTAAACAATACTCTGATATACAGACTGCTGACTGATCCAAAAAACAATATGGCTGAAAGGTCAGCCATCTTTGATTTTGATTGTTAAACTTTGTTATAAAATACCTTTACACTAATCTTTCTCAATGTTCCTGCTAGGTTTCCATAGGTCTCGAGTTGTACCCAACTGATCTTGAAATTAAACTAAATAGATGACATACAACCATGTTGTTTTTGTCTATTTGCTTGTCCACACATGGTTTCCATCAAATAACTTTAGACATGAACATTGCTTTCTATCCACCAAATCTTAAAATTCATCAAAATCTGTCACCATTTTCCAGAGATACTGGTATTTGAAATATTCCATGTATAATTTCCAAAGTAGAAAAAGTTCCTATTTCTACATTTCATATCGATTTGCAATACTTTTGCCAAATTTATTCCAATTTTTCAGTGTATTTCTCCACCTATGGCCGTTTTTATCCCTGTGCTGCTCTAATTGCAATAAGATGACTTAAGTCCATGGGTAATGATTAATGTATATATCTATTCATATTCAAAACTAATAATATATTGTTATACATCAACAGGCATGCCAAGCAGTAAGGATAACAAGCATGAAAACTTTTTTTTCAAATTATGACCAGGAATTTCTTCTTAATTTTTTTTCATTTCACCATTACAAATAATTTGGGTTTTTTTTACTTAAGCTTTGAACAGTGTTATGTTAAACTACCTTGCTCCAACAAAAATAATGAAGGCTACCACATCGAAAGCCTATTTATTTTTTATATGATCAACTCGCATAAGAAAAAGCCCTATTAATTTTTTTTTTAAATAGTTAGTACAGTATGTATAATTCTGTTACCACCAATCTTAATTTGGCATTTTTTGTAAAATTCTAAGTTTTCACACCTTACATTAAAGATTCAATATAAACAGTCTATGTAACATGCCAGTTAATATATTGATATTCTTACAGCTACAAGTATTGAGACCACTGACCCCTCCCTTGGTGGCTTGTACTTGTTTGAAATGGTACAGTATTATAAATTTACACTGTATAGTTAATGCAAAGTCCATATTTACAATTGAAAGGAAAATAACAATGTATTGTAGAATCACCTAGCAGATTGACATTAACCTGTTATTTTTATTGTGTTCTCAGACTGAATAGATTAGATGACAGACATCTCTTCTGTCCTTATAAAAGCTTGGAAAAGGAAAGAGTTATCTCCCCTTCCAATAATATGAAGAGCCAGGAAATAGTTTTCCAGACCACAGCTCATAAATCTGAGAGAAAAAAAGTGATATTTAACATTAAATACACAATACTGAAAATATTTTAAGTCTTCATTTGGACCATATATAGATTTCCATCATTTTTCAATAAGGAAAAATCTTTTTCAAGTCTTGATGTTGCTAAATATTTTGAAAACATGAACATTGCACTAATGTGAGATTTTGGGCACAAAGCATAAGGGCATTTCATATTACAACTTGTAGCACAAAACCAACACTAAAACATGATTATCCATCATCTCGATTTGAGGAAAACATCAATGTTTGAGGCTGAAATAAATCTGTAAATGGATGACCCTTCATAAGCGACTTCTAGGCGGCATAGTTTTTCAAACACCTATGTTTAATCATGTTAATTGCAAAATTTCTTATGCCTACATACTGGAATGCCTTTTTAAAAAGTTCAATACATCTTAAACAACAACAACAAAAAAATATCATTAAAGTTTCTTCCTATATGGAAGTTTATTTCATCCATAATCACTTTTGATGACATGGAGCAGATGTATATTGAACTCAATAATAACACAAGGATGAATATTCAATCATGAAGTCAAAAAGGAATGGTTCTTAAGTCTTCAAGTAGGAATGTTCATTGTTATACATAGCCACATTTGCGAAATATATTTGGAAAACACAATTTGTCAATAGAAGTTAAAGCATTTACTATGGATAGTTCTGTGAAGCTGTACACGAATTCTGAATTTTCCCTCAGTTTGTTGCGCATCAAGTGGAACACATATTCTGTCACATTAAACTCGGGACAATAAGGTGGTTGGAATAACAGTGTAATGTTTCTTTGGCCTAGCATGTCACGTAACAACTGCTCCCCAACCCTGTGGTGATGAAAGCCACAATTGTCCATGATAATACAGTCACCATGCGCAAGAACTGGATTACCCATGTCATTATTCATTTGCATTAGGTCATCAAAAAAAGTCAACATTTCATAAGCATTGGAAGGGCCAAGAATAATGTCAAAATGATCCAAACCAAAATAACCACATGAAACATTCACTGTGAAAGTAGCATTACTTGCGTACCGTTGAATTTCGATAGCTTTCTCACCTCTGAACGCATGGCCATATCGTCTATTTCCTGCGGTTCGTACAACTGAGGCCTCGTCAAAAAAATGAAGTTGTTCCGGGGAAAACTGCATAGCCCTCGCAATAAAATTTTCTATTGTTTGATCGTGGTTTTTGGTCTCTGTCGGGACACTTTGAACAAGTTTTCGCGTCATTCCAAGTACCTCTGTAATGGCTCTGTTTATTTGGCGTACCGATGGTAAACTATCAGGTGAACATACGTTTCTCCTCAATAAATCCGACCGTATTTCCCTTCCATAAATACTTGGTTGCCGTTTTTTCTCATATTCAATAAACTGAAGTACGTTTGGTGTCATTTTTGTTGGAGACCTGTACCGCCGTAACTTCCTGCTGATAGATCCTGACGCGACAAACTGCTTTACGACTTTTTGACACCCACCCCTTGTGATTCCAGTAATATCGCTCATTTGCTGGTACGTCTTACCGTTTGTGTACAGATCAATGATTTGCAATCTTGTTTGATCGTCAGTCCGTTGTCCGTTGAAATAAAGCTTTCCACATTTGTTCTTTGACATTTTTTGCGCCATTTCTCACGTGTTTTGTTGTGTGTTTTTTGTATCCGTATCAGACAGGCGCTTGCGGCGTGCTATATTTAGACAATCTCATAATGGTCTAAATATAGCACATGTACACCGCCTGGCTGCTGTGTATAGTGACAGAGTTGCAAGCTATAGCATTCAATCGTACGAGCAATTGGGTAATGATGTTTGTCAACGGTATAGTGTCCCGCGCTGTAAGTGTTTTATTAAAATTCGACCCTTGCGACCTTGGACATAGGTCTCTATTAGGGATTTATTTTATTGTCAATCTGCATGAAATACCGAAATCTCTTATTAAGACTTGGAGTAGAAGATTACTGACCCAATAGGAATTATACAACTTACAGGGTCAATTTTAATTTTAAAATTCAACCATTTATTTATTGCCCAAATCCAAGCACTAATTTCACTAATCATTTGAATACAATTGTTTTAGACTTTTTGTTGAATGGGAAAACTGATAAAGTAAAAAGAAATAATTAAAATCATTAAAAGCTATTTTGAGGGTGGTTTATAGATGATAGGCTGGATTAGAACTTAAAGATTTTTTAAAGTTCATGTAAAAAGTAAGTTGAAAATGATATTAATAAGATTGTTCAGTATGAGTAGTGGGAATGATTATATAAATAAGAGTCAAGAAAAATGTAAAAATATGTTTTGGTGTGATGTTTTTAAAGCTCGGGAAAATTTACTGATCTCTTATCTCAAGGCAAAAGGTAGCTAACTCTCTCCTCTTAAACCTCCTCACTGGTATGGCCCAAAACGGAATAGTGGAGGACTTTCTGCTTTCTAAAAAGACTGGTGTTGGGTGTTAGAGTATTACATGATGTGTTCGAGGATACAAAATCAATCAATCCATATCGGCAAGTACTTTCTCTTTACCTTTCAAAATAACAAATAATTCTAAACTTAAATGGTTTCAGTACAGAGTTTTACATGACGTACTTCTGACTGTATAAAACAAATATAGTGGAAAGTGTTACAAAATGTAGTTTCAATATTAGCGTATATGTTACAAAATGTAGTTTCAATATGAGTGTATATGTTACAAAATGTAGTTTCAATATTAGTGTATTTCAAGATACACAAGTCAGTAATCTTTGACTACATCGGTGTAATATTAATTTTATCAATACGTAACATCTTGTAGACTGGGTGTAAATTATGAAGGCACACTGATAATTTGTAACTGTACGACGGTGAACAGCGGTGAACAGCGTTGATATTTACTAATCCTATTGATCTATTGTATTGACAAACTTAGCTATCTTTCTGGACGGCAGATCTGCTTTGAAAATGCCGCCGCGACAAAGATAAAACCTGAGATTTGAAATTCTCCTGATTAACATGTATTAGGATGTTAGATCGTGGCGTCTCCATCACGATATCTAGGGGAATGGGGATAAAAGTAGGAGAGCTGAGAGACAGGGAAAGAGACAGGGCTCGACTGGACAAGACTCGGCAACAGATACTGTACCAACTCAGATGGCCGAATAACTCTGTTCTTTCTGTGAATCTGAAACAGAAACTGTTATTCATATTTTTGGGAATGTGAAAAAAAATCAGAATTTCTTTTTTGCAAAGTTTAGAAATACTTTTAGAAGCACTGCTAATCCCTTTTACTGTCAAGGAGGGGTCCTTTCTGTTCGGTTTCTGATCTTATAAAAGTTTTGTGGCCCAATTGAGTATAAGCAAGTCGTTGTTTCTTTTCATTTTTTCTTTGACCGTTGATCAAACCCCACTTAACTTATGTATCTTGAATCATGAATCTACGCTGATGTTAGCTAAATTATTGCTGACCATCTGTAAATCAATACATACTAACATAATATAGGAATAGGTACATAGATGATACATATATAGAAATAGGAACACATACAATTGTATATACTGCGTAATTAAATGTGATGAAATCTTCCTGGTCAGTTTGTAAGCTAATCCTACTTCACCTACTTATAGTGTTCAATGTCTTGCCACATCAGCATAAATCGTATTAACTAAAGATACACATTAGGTCTGATAATAATATTTAGATCAACGGTACATTTATAACTTGAATGAAACCAAAGATTGGTTTTATTTTTTGTTCTATTTTTTCATAATTAGCTGGAACACCATTTTCCCATAAGCCATCTGGTTACAGTTTGTAAAACTGAAAACGAAACTAACACTATCATGAAATAGTATATCTGTACTTCTACATGTTTTAACAATTATCTCGACATACATAGTAAACATAATTAAGAATCATCATAAAGTTAAAAAATACATAGCTACCGCAAAGAGAGATTCCTATCATGAAAAATTCAATGAAGAAGGCAGAAAACAGAATAAAATATTACTACTTTAAATCTATTTTTATGATAAGTTGATACATAATTGATGTTGAATGATGATTGCTGAATGCTTGTGTATGGATGATGATGATGATGATGATGAATGATGATGATGATGATGACGATGACGACGACGATGATGATGATGATGATGATGATGATGATGATGATATTTTAGATTAAAATGTTTGTTTGAGAATTGTGTGTCTCCATTCGTACACTATGAGAGTATATTACGTGTGCTTTGAAAAATTAAAAAAAAAACCAAACCATTCCTAAAATGTTTTTGACTTTATTTTGGAATGCCAGAAGACTTGTAAGTTTAACACGGGTTATTTGAAACTGATTGTAAAACGGAAACTACAAGAACATTATATGACGAGATAGAAATTGTTTCATTGGGAAATAACCTATATTTCCAGATACGTAATGTGACCCGGAAATGAAATGACTGTTGTGTTCTATGTCACAAAGTACCGGTGGAACTCGTGCGAGTTCTGCACATTTTTTTCCTGTTACAACGATGTTGTCTTGGACAAGTGTTTTTACATTGTAGTACATCTGAGCCGGTCATTTACAATGTAATACAATTTCAGGTTCATCGGCCAAATGTCGCGAGCACGTACACTCACATTTTGTATATACCGGAGCACGTGTTGTGCACACGTACGAATGGATTCTTACAGAGGATAGCAATAGCGTTCAGATTTTGCAGAGTATGTTTCCAATACGCAGCAATATATACCAAACATTAGCAAACAAATACTTCCATAAGAAGATTATTTATTTATTTATTTATTTATTTATTTTTAATTTTGTTACTTTTGTTTAACATGAGAAATGAAGAACATATACAAATACAGAATTTTCGAAATTGCAATTTATGGATCATTTGTAAGTATTTTCATGTACTTTTGATGATTAAATACAACAGTTTTCAACCAATTTATAGATGTGTTCGGACGTCTTTCCGCCATGACCCGGTAGTGATTACGGCGCATCCAGTATAGTTATACATCATGTAAACATAGTGTTGCGTCTTTCACCATAGTAGGAACGTTTATTTTTCTCACCATAAGGTAAGCACAAGTTACGTGAATGTGTAGGCAGCACTGTTCAGTTTAAACAGGAACAGACTGCCTTCAATACGTCAGTTTCCGCACGAGTTCACGTTACTATCTTTACAACAGTCGGGGACGTCCCTGCAACAGTTTACATTACGCACAAGAAATTGAATGAATATATTAATCTCTTTTTCTCTCTCTTTCGTTTTTGAAATGTTTCTTACTTTTATATAGTCGATTATAAACAACAACTAAATCAAATTAACAATTATATACCGCTAAATTTGAGAAAAAAAATAAGAGTTCGTCTATGACGCAACCATTTATCGGTTTAATGTTAATGCTACGTATTTTGTAAGGTATTGATATAATGAAAGGTCGGGTACATCGTTCACTTTCTGATAGTAATTACACGTCAACGTAAGAAGTTAGATATAAATAGGAATTCCCCTTTGCTATTTTTAGACGTAAACGAACTAAACTATCACAGACCAGTGATGTATATACGTCCATGCACAGACAAAATATGATAGTAATTACATAAACAAGTCCCACACACCAAAATCAGCCTTACCAGGGACGTATCATACGTAGCATACGTCCCTGGCCATGCTTATTCTTATTATGTTCGTACGTGTAACGAAATGTGGAAACAATAAACATCGTCACGAGACTGAGCTATGTAGCTTCTTCCGCGGCAAGTGGTGTCTGTGGACGAAACGGTTGGATTATTTTTCTGAGCGTTGCAGTCACCAACCAGCACGATCACATGACCCATATTCATGGAAAATCGGAATTATAGCAACACTGGAAGTATAACAGTACTAAACAGTCTTCCATTTAAAATGCGTCTACGTTGTCATCCATTCAGTCGAGACAGAAGTTGATAACGGTTCCTTTCGATCCTATATGTTCGTGACCGTGAAATGAACGTAGAGTATTGTGTGGCAATTTAACAGTAAACAGGTGTTAGCTTTGTTGTACGTGGTGTCATACAAGTTCACACTAAGCATGCCGAGTCGATCACAAGGAAAACAAAAATATTACGTCAGTGTGTAAGTAACCCATAATGCATTGCGTGATCCGTCCAATCAGCTCAATGAGGTTGCGTCACGTGATCTCATTTACTACTACCACTACTACTTCCTACTACAACAACGCTTGGCACGCGTTTCATTCACAGTGAAATATGATTTCATTTATATTGACTACTACATACCGCCACAATGTAGTTAGCGTTTTACCAATGGAAAACAGGAAATAAAAAGACAATGCAAAAATCCGTATCAAGTGAAAAAATGGTGGGCCTCGCTCATACATAGCCCGAGGGGCCGGAAGGGAATATTTTGAAAATTCATTTAAAAGTATGCCTCTTCTGTAGGAAAAGAAGTATTTTGGATGATAGAAACTCAATTGTGTATAAACATGGGTCTGAACATATAAACTCTCCTCTCCCGGGAGATGAGGGTCTGGACCGAAAATCCTTGGGAGAAGGGGAATGATTATCTAAAATCCCTCACTGACCGGTACAGTATTACCCGAAACAACTCCATACTGTTTTGTCGGGCTACAATAAATATGTAAATATCAATAACAGCATAAAAAATACGAATACTGACATTGAATTTTCATTTCAGAGACAGAAATTTACTGTTTACTAAAACCCAGGAACTCAAGGGCCTTCGTCCCTATTTGCCACCTATTAGGGCTCCCTGAATCCACTTGTTCCTTGGCTGAATTTGGTACAGATCCTTAGCCGATAATTTGCGTATACGTCATTTTCTGTCAGATACGCCATTGGACACAATTTGACATTAATCGAAGTAGAGGTAAGCGTTTGAAATGATTCTTTTCTGCTTGTGTCGAGATTTAAATTGAAAATGTAACAACATCATTGTGAAGAAAAATGTTTTGAAGTGAAAGTTGAAATATAAAGATGAGTGGTGCAAGCCCCGTTTGTCTCTTGTTTACTTGTTGTTTTACAATCGATGCACAACGTGTACATATCAGCCTCATTGTAGCTTGACAGGTAGAGTGCCTACCCGCATGGATGTGGTTCGGACACGCTAGTTTGGAAATGCAACATTTGCTCTTAAAAATGGCGGAACACGGACGTAAGTGTGAAAAATACATGTGTTTGTGTGTTGAGCTGTGTGATGGTCTCACTTTTTTCTTTTGTAGTTTGGAACATCACAAGTAATCATACATTAAATAGACAAAGTGTGTATAAAGGGTACCCAAAGATGATTTCAGAGTTAAATCTCATAATAATTGTGTGAAAGGTACATGTTTCCCTATTTTAATCAATTCCCTTGTAAGATATACAAGATATAGCAGTCCTTTCAGAAAATTTATTATTATTCCTTTTATTATTCTCTTTTTCATTCCCTTTAATATTCTCTTTATTTTCCCCTTTTTTGTCTCCAGTGATGAAAATTACAAAAGAATGTAAATCATATATACAAATCCACAATACATATATAAACGATGACATAATATATATAACATGAATATACACTTTATATTACAGGGATGTACATGTATATTAAATGCAAAATAAGCGAGAGCGAGTATTTAAGGGTAAATACCAAAAGTTTCAAATTACAGATTTTTGACATTTTTTACGGATTTATCCCGTACCTGTTGAAAAGGAATGAAAACACTGCTAAAAGAAAAAAACACCAACTGCCGTGCAGCTCCATCTTCTCTATTGGTAATTATGGGAAGCACTGTTTACGATGAAAGTATTTCTTGTAACATTGGTGCAAGAAAATGTCGAATTATTAAAGAAAAAAGAGCCTAATTTCAGGTGGCGAAAGTATAAAGTGTTCAAGCTTTGTGGTGTAATTATGTTGCCAAAAACGCCGACTGAAGTGTAAAAGTAGGTCTACTCTGTTTTTTGTTTTGTTTTTTTATTTTGCTTTTTTTTCAGTTTTTATTTGTTATGTAGTGTAGTTGCGAGAAAAATGTAATATAATTTTATATGAAAAATAAACATCCCGCGAACAAATCGTCCGGATATTCATAACCCGGTGTTCGTTTCAAGAAGTAATTGATTTTCCTGTTTGTTGCTGCGCGCGCCCTTCCGAATCGGTGGTCTTTTTAGAGGATGAACGGCTTAAGTGCTGAAGTAAGTATCATTAGTTTACTGATAATCAAACTTTTTTTTATATTCCCAGGCTATCAGCCGATTCCTATATTACTATATTTTCCTATATTTTGAAAGATCTCCAGATCTCCTATATTTTGAAAGATCTCCTATATTTTCAAATTCAGTGCGTCTGTTTATTATTGACATGTATCAGTTATTCGAGCAACAGCGAATGACAAGAATTTTAAAGACCTTCAACTGGAGAATGATAAGGACAAGTCTGTTCCTTGGACACGTACCGAGCAAATGGTTGATGTTGTTGCCAGCAACTCCGCCTATCAAAGCGGTTCCACACAACAGACTCATCAACAAACTTCGCGCGTATAATTTCTCAACACAGATCGTCGATTGGATATGTACTTTTCTGAAAGGAAGAAAACAGAAAGTAACAGTGAACGGTGAGGATTCTGAATGGACCAAGGTTACATTTGGGATTCCCCAAGGATCCGTCTTAGGACCAATGATGTTCGTTATATTTGTTAATGATTTACCGGACACTGTTCAGTCTGATATGTACTTGTTTGCCGACGATACTAAAATATTTAGAATTATGGAAACAGCCGAGGACAGTACAATGTTACAAGATGATCTAAATACAATGTGTGAGTGGAGCGACACCTGGCTTCTATGAATGCATCCGGAGAAATGCAAACAAATGAGAATCGGCAAGAACTCGTGTCATGGTCAAGGGATCACAGAAACAAAATACCATCTAAAAGGAAAATTTCTAGAACCAACAGAAAAAGAAAGCGATATTGGAGTAGTAATAGATTCCGAATTAGCTTTTGATGAACACATATCTGAGAAAGTTAAGAAAGCAACCTCTATGTTTGGATTAATACGAAGAACATTCCAGTTTATGGATTTTAAATTATTTATTCCACTATACAAAAGTCTTGTTCATTCCCATTTGGATTATGCTAGTGCTGTGTGGTCGCCACATTTACAGAAACATATAGACAAGATCGAGGCTGTACAAAGACGAGCTACCAAAAGTCTCCCAGGGATGCAAAATTTAAGCTATATTGACAGATTAAAAAAGTTAAAATTACCAACTTTGGCCTTTAGAAGAATCAGAGGTGATATGATTGAATTATATAAAATATTGAATTTTTATGATAAAGATTGTTGCACGTCTGTACCACTATGGAGAGATGTGGCAGATCGCCACAGCAGTCGAGGAAATTCAAAAAAAATATTCCCCAAACGGAGCAACAACATGTTACGGAAAAACTTTTTTTCAATACGAACAGTATCAATATGGAATAGTCTACCTGAAGAAGTAGTATCGGCACCCAATATAAACTCTTTTAAAAACAAACTGGACAACCACTGGAAGAATCAAGAACTTTATTTATTATAACTACAGCACCCAATATAAACTCTTTTAAAAACAAACTGGACAAACAATCAAACTTTAACTATAGCTATATTTATGTACATGTGTATTTTCTATACCTGTATATTATGTATTTACATATATGAGTCTGGTGTAGAGGACTTGTCTTAGTCCTGAACCGGAAATAAACTTAACTTAACTTAAGTAGCACTAAGCATGAACGATCTTGTTTCAATTTCAACAGCATCAGGATTTGCTTCATTTATAATTTAGAACCATATACCCAACAATCAGTGACATGTTCACTCACTGTCTCTTTATATTATAATTCTTATCCAAATTATCTCTGCAATACTCAAGTTAATTCGCATTATGTCTGGGTGGCTACTACGCTAGAAATCCTAAATCATCTATGACATAACCAAGCATTTGATACCTGAAAATCACTAATTCATTAATAGAAGGAATCATGTCATGTACTCTTTATGTTTTTGTTGAAAAGAGTCAAATCTTTTCCTTAGTAAAATGGTGTTTCCATTGGTAAGTATTTATGTTGTGGTATTTGAAAATTTTAGTTTGCTTGTTAATATGAATTAGATGTCCTCTTAGATATTTACCTATCATAGTAATGTGTTCTTAATTTTATGATGATGGGCTATTCAAATCACCATGGTCCGTCGTCTGTCTGTCTGTCCATAAACAATTTTTGTTATTGCTATTTCTTGACAAGTACTCCATGGATCTTTCTCAGATTGCATTTGTAGGTTCCCCTTTGTACATAGTTGTGCCCATTTGATTTTGGGTCTGATCAGAAAAACAAAATGGCCCATAAGCAGCCATCTTAGATTTAGACTTTGAAAACTTGTTATCACTATTTCTTGAGAACTACAGCATAGATCTTTCCCAAATTTCATTTGTATGTTTTCTTTGATCCCTTGTTGTGCCTGTTTGGAATATTCAAATGTCTTAATATTAATAGTAAAAACAGAGAAGATAAAAGAAGGGAAAAGATCCAATGTTAAAAAAGCAAATAAAGATTAAACAGTGGTGGGCTCGAAGATTCCTCTGGGATCTCTTGTCATTTTATTGTTATTCTTCATTTATTATATCAAAGTTGATATTGGAAGAAAAAAACAATGTTCATTTGCTTTTGGTTAGTAGAATAGTATATTACTTCTGTAAAAGTCTTGTGATTAAGTGCCAATTTACCAAGAATCATCTGTTTTAATTCATTTTTAATTAATAAGGGATATACCTTCAAGTTTCACCATTTGTGTACAAGTGACACACCTGCTGTTTTACCTGTTTGCATTTTTGTTTAAAAAAAAATGAAAAAGATGATACAAATTTACAGTAAGGGTACATTGCTAGGATACATATACTTGTAAAGATGTCTGTGTTTGAACACACTCAAAGTTACTTGTTTATGTTATTTAACAAGAAGATAATTTGATAATCATTTTGGACAATCAATTACATGTAATGGTGAAAGTATATTTGAATAAATAAGCCCAGATTATTCTCAGATTTTTCTTAGTTGTTGTACCTGTCAAACTATTTGAAGAAAAATTATATGTATGGTGCTGGCCATCTGTTTTGATAAAGGTACATGTTCTTGAACCAAAAGATTGTTTTCTCTAGAATGGATATATTGAATTTTACATTCCTGTGAATTCACATTTTTTCAGTGTTTCCAGTCCTGAAAGTACTATTATTGCTGCAATATTAGGGAGGTCGGCGATAGTCATTTATAGGCTTATTACCTCCTGTTGGAGCAAAAAAACCCATTTTTTTCTTTTTTTTTTCCAGATTAAAATTAAAAAATCAAACAAGCGTATTTGGGGAATACAATATATATCAAAATAAAGTTCAAGACTTATATTTTCTTTTTTGGTAATTGTTTTTAATAAAATATAAATTCCTACAATTGCATAGTGTCCGAAGTGAAGTTGTTGTAAACATATATAAATATAAGGAGAATGATGCGTAAATATATAGTACAGAACAGGTCTGTATGATATAGTCACACCAAGAGCATGGAAAACACGTCTATTCTCAGCTATGACCGGGTGCAAACTACACTCGATATTACAACGTACCGTCACACATCACCTTCGGGACGAGTTGACATATGATCATGCGTGTCGTGATGGCCAATTTGTCCAAGATAACGTCAACACAATGTGCCTTGTGCATTCAGAGATCCTTTTTCACAACAAAATGATACCTTATATACCATACAATAGTTTATATTCTTCTCACATTTCATGATTTATCCAAAATTTTCAAAAACATAGGAAAACAACCTTAAATGTTGCTTAAAAATTGTTGTTTGAGTTAAAACTTGATCATTTGCATGTAGAAATAAGCAGTCTTATATAAGTTTTCATTTTATTACCACCTGAAGATCTTTTTGGGCTGAAAAAATGTTATGTTTCGTCTGTTCGGGGCTAAATATAGACCTCTTTGGCAGCTATATTTTTGGAGCTGTTGCTTTCAAAAAAATTTTTTTAGGGGAAATATTACTTATTTTCTTATAAAACACACAAAGATCAACAAGAAACACCATGCAAAAAAATTACAGATTTTTTTTTAAGTTTTCTGCATCAAAAAAGTTTTCGTCT